CTGCTTTAAGTTGGAGCGTTTCCGGATCCTCCGCCGTTCGCCCGTGTTCACCGCGGATAAAGTTGATGGGAAGGAACTAGTCTCCCTTTGTTCCTCGGAGACGGAAGAGTGAGTCTGGATTTCCTCTTGCTGCCGTCGCGTTTCAGATTTTCAGAACCGGAGTGAGATTTTAGTTAAAGGTAGTACCTCTTCCTCCTCCGTCATCGTATACCAACAGGTGTATACACACACATCTGGACGTCAGTCCGCCTATCCAAACCGTAGGAGCAGAGACGCGTGGAGCAAAACAGACGGAAGGCGGAAGCAGTGGACGCGGGCGGCTGTTGCGTCTTGAGGGTGGACGCTTCCGTATGCAAATTGCGAAGGCGCACAATCAAAGCGCCGGCGGACGATACATATTCAAGCGGTCAGCATGGGTAAACACCAACGTCGACAAACGTGGGCGACCACGGTTTACTCCGGCGCATCTGTACGCACGCAGCGCATACACGCATACGTACACCTTGGCGGCGTTCCGTATGCAGAGAGGGCTACGAAGAGGGAGAGAGAGGTTCGAGGGTGTTGTACACGCGAGAGGAGGACACAATCTAGTTGGGGGTTCTATGGCGGATATACGCGGCGTATACACGGCCGACAGGCAGAAGCCCATCAATTTCCCATTCAATTCGCAGCCCTCGCCTTGCCAATTTCTAGGGGACTCGACTCCTGCGAGAGAGCATCATCCCTTCCGCCCGAGAGATGGCACCGCGGGATCGATGAATCGTTTCGCGATTAAATATCGAGGATCACACCGCCCCTCCTTTGATCGTGTTTGTTACGGAGGAAAGAAGAGAGAGAGAGGGGGGAGGGGAGGGGAATCCTGCGAGAAACGTCAGGAGTCGAGTCGTTTTCATATTCAAGAAACGTTATATTCCGCTGGAATCTCTGGGAACGTGCTTTATATTCCGGGATGAAGGCGCTGTTTGAATTTTAAACCGGTGTTGGAATCTTGGCGTTGCTGCTCGATTGTTCTCCTCGTTCTACCTGGTGTGTATATGTGTGTATATATATATATATATAAAAACCGGCGTACACCGATGTGTCATTCGTAATAGGAACATCGGGACGTCAATTTTTGAATGGGGCTGATCGATCAAACGTCCGACACTGCTTGCGTTTCATTTTACAAGCGTGGATATATCGGGGCGGCGCGATTGGCCCCTATGCAAATTAACCAAAACCGGGAGGAAAATAGATGGCGTGCGGATAGTGGATTCCACCCTTCCAAAAACTGGCTCGATAACAACCTCCATCGCTTTAGAAACCGAGAGAGATCTTGTTTATTCGACTGCGTTTGGCAAAATCAATCGCGCGTAATCCGTTATGAATCTATCCAATCGAAGTGTACATTCGAGGCGTTTAATTCCTTTTCTATTTTTCCTCTTTTCTTAGACGAAATTTATCGTGGCCTTTCGAGTCGTTTACGTTTCGTCATGGAAAAGTTGGCGAAATTCGAAGAGAAGAAAGATTGTACGCAATCGTTTCTCCTCGAGCTTCGTCACATCTGTTCACGTATGTTATTTCCGTCGTCATTATCCTTATCGTTAACCTCGTCTCTTCCATTTTCAATCCCCAATCCCTCCAATAAACGACATCCTCGATATTGACTTTCCCCGGAAACCACCATTAATTCTTCCTTCTGCCTCCTTCCCCGAAAAGAAGAAAAACTTGCCTCGATATTTCTCGACATCTGTTCCCACGCATCCCGCCCGATGCTCAACAGCTCGTGCACAGCGATCGAGCACAGTTTTTACGATCGATGCTTCCCTATCGACCGAGTTTATTGCACTCGAGATCGAAAAATCGAACGGATAAGATGGATTCGTTTCCTTTTCTTCTTTTTCTTTCTTTTTCTTTTTTTTCGAATCTCGAGACAAACGACACTCCTCGCTCCAACCTCGAAGAAGATATCGACGCGTGTAAATATTTGCACGCGTTGAACGAGGCTTCGCGGGACGAGAGGCTCAAAGCGAATTGTTTCGTTTGACAAATC